CTTGAATTTTACGCAAAGCGTCTGGCAAACTATTTACGTGTGAGTGCGCAAAAATATTACCATACTGATACTTCAATCCAAAAATGAAGCGTTTTAAAGCCTGATCACAGTACATTTCTGATTTTATCTGTAATAGTTCAGGAGGCGAATTTAATTTTACCTGTTGCAACATTTTTTGTAATTGTTTGTTTATTCGATCGTAATACTGTTGATAAGATTCTTTGTTATTCTGATGCATGCGAGAAAGTTCGTAAGCTAAAAAGATTCATTTCTTTTATCACCGAATCTATTAACAAGAATATCTTTGACATCCTTCCAAGTAACCCAGGAACTGTTATTCTATAAATCTCTAGCATCGCCTTTGATTTTTGCGATAATATTATGAAAAAGCAATTTATTGAACACACAATTTGGATCCGGCTTTTTCAGCAATTCTATAAATTGGTCTGCCTTCGTGACAAAATCCAAAAGATCTTTACTACCGCCGAAATAATCAGGAACAATATCTTTCGCAAGAGACATCTCTAGACTTGTAATTTCTGAAGTCATGATTGTTAATTCACGTGAATGGTATCGGTGCCTGTCAGAGTCAGAACAATCTGATTCACTATCGGAATGATAAAAAGGCATACAAATCTCAGGATGTACCAAAACTTCATTAACCAGTATCACAGAAATTCACAAGATCTAAGAAATCAAAAATGATAAAGATGCAGCACACCCTACTAGCTGAACCGCTTCTACTGTCAAGGTATTCGGGAGTTCTGGAACTTAGGGCCGACGCCCAATGCTGCTGGTCCTTAGTACCTTCACTTTATTGTTGCTGGCTGTGGATCCCTCTAAGAACTTGAAAGTTCGCGTGTCTATGACTGGTGATTTCGGCTGCCCGATACTCTGCTCGATTGCCTCGAATTCGGACGCCGAAGGTGCACGTTTCACGTTTCGCGACACGCTGAGGGATCCCGGTTGAGCCCCCAGTTAAATTACTGCTACCGAAATACTTGTTTTTTAAAAAAACTTTATTTCGAATAACGGTACAAAAGGACTTTTGTGAAACCTTGTCTCGACGAGGCGTAAAACAGGACGGTTAAACAAGAAGTGACAAGATTTCCTCACACATGGATTTAGTACAGTGAAGCAGAAATATAATATGCTGATACAGAGGATGTTAACATGTAACCTTCAAGGCGCGAGATAAGATTCCATAGCGTAGCGACAATGCTAGCAAGAAATACAAGTACCAGGTAATAATTATAATATTATATAAAATACATGGTGATGATGGATATAACTTGTATACTTAAACAACTGGTTCCACTTAATACGAATTGTTTATCCTAAATTCACAGCTGGTGTGATCCTGAGGTATGCATACCCCCGGAAACATCGTAAGTCACTGATATTGTTTTCACTTGTTGTTAGGTGATTTATTATAAATAGATTTTGGGCAAGCTCTGGAAATTGGCAATCTATTCGTTTCCCCCAGTGCCCTAATCCTCCAAATCAACAACCACTTCGAACCCCAGAAGTAACATTCATCGTGCAGGGAAGATTTTTTTTATAAAAATCCTTCTAAAAACAAACGGTGAAACCAAACGTGGCCGTACCATCCACTTCGACTGCATCTGTGTCGGACTCGGAGCATCCCGAACCTGAATACAGACAAAATAGAAGAGCAGAATCTAGTGGAATCAGGTCTGAGCCTGATAATTCGACTTGCGAATCTCAGGATAACCAAGAGCTAGAGCAACCTGTTAAGAAAAAGACACGAAAACAAATGTTTACTTCATCATGGCTAGAAGATGCGTTATTTAAAGGCTGCTTGGGACCTATTGAAAATGACAAGTTGAAAGCAAAATGTAAAGCTTGTAATCAAATAATGGGTGCTAATGTACAAGCAGTTTCGAATGTAAGAACGTTAGATAGCACTTTTAAGTCTCGGGAAGCACGTGAGTTGGAAAAACGGCAAATATTTGCTTGCTTAAGATATAGTCTTTTAGTTGTAAGTCATTATATAAGTTTTAGAACTGTTGATCATATAACAGGAGTTAGTCAATTATGTTTTAAAGACCCAGATCTCTCTAGCTCACTTAAATTAAAAAGATCCAAATGCATAAGTATAATTAAAAATGTGCTGGCTCCTGTTATTAAAGACGAAATAATTTCAGAATTTTAAAATAAACCATTTTCTATTTTATTGGATGAGAGTACAGACCTGAGCAATACAAGACTACTATGCATTCTTGTAAGGTATATTCATAAAAATTCAATTAAAACCCATTTATTAGATATAATTAAAATAAACGCAGATGAAGGTACCGCCAAAGGTTTATATTCTCTTTTTAAAAAATGCGTTATATCCAATCAAGTAAAAATTACCAATATTGTTGGATACTGTTCCGACAACGCTAGTGTTATGATGGGCAATAACGAATCTTCCAAAACTTATCTTTTAAAAGATAATCCTAATATAATTGTCAATGGCTGCATTTGCCACTCTGCTCATTTAGTGGCGGTGGCGGCAGCTGAAAAGATTCCAAGCAACGTTGAAGCTCTTTTACAAAACTTATATTCTTACTTCTCAAGAAGCCCAAAAAGGCAGTGTGTTCTTGAAGAATTACAGGAATATTTCAAAAAGTCAAAATTAAAAATTTTAAGCCCTAGTAAAACAAGGTGGCTTGCTTTATCCAAATGTGTTGATAGAGTTTTGGATCAGTGGGACATCTTGCTTAGCCTATTTAGATTAGCTTCCATTGAAGACAAAAATCCTGTAGCAAATGTAATATTTAATGAGTTACAGAATCCATTTGTTAAGGCGCATTTAATGTTTTTTAAATTCGTGTTGCCCATTTTTAACCAATTTAATGCTCTCTTTCATTCAGAGAAAGTTGTGCTCAATATCATATCAATAGAGAGTGAGCGATTTGTACGTCATCTATGTACAAAACTTTATGCGACCAGAATATTTTAAAAATGAGAAATTATATAATCTAAATCCTAATGATCCCCACTGCTTATTACCAATTGAACAAGTGAATGTTGGTCCGCATACAATGGATGCAATAAAACACTGCAATAACACGGCAATCGAACAATTTAAATTAAAATGTGTCACACTTTACAAAAAATCGGTAGAAGAGTCCCTTAAAAGGTTTCCTATCAAAGACAACTTCTTTTCAGAGCTAAAGTTTCTCTCACCGGTTGATGTGATGAACAATCGTCTTATTATAAGTGATACCTTTCATGACGCCGTTTTAAAAAAATTTGCCCTTCATATTGAAACCGAAAAGGCAATTTTGGAACTAAAGAAAATATGTGTTTATTTTAGTGATAGTGAGAAAGAGGGAATTTTAAAAACAAAAAGTAATGTCATTAAATTTTGGCCGTTTGTAAACGACCTCAAAAACTTTAATGACGAATATTTATTTTGCAATATAGGTAAACTGGCTCTAATCATTTTAACATTGCCTCATGGAAACGCTGATGTTGAGCGAACTTTTTCTTATATGCTTGATTACAAAACAAAAAAAAGAAGTAAAATAGTACCATCAACTTTGTCTACAGTACTTACAATTAAATTAGACTTGGAATCAAAAAACAGTGCTGTTTATCCTATAGTTTTAATGAGAATCATTTAAACAAATATAAAAAGAATTTATATAATGTAAATAAGGAAGAACAAGCTGAAGAAGAAGTAATTTCTGATTCTGACTGTGAATAAAATAAGCAAACGTAGGCATTTCCACGTTTCCGCTTCTTCTTTGTCCTTATTTTTTGTTTTTTTTTTTCTATTAAGATTAAGGTATTGGTGATAGTTTCTATTTTTTCATTAGTTCCTAATTCTAAACCACAGTTTTATTTTTTTAGAGGTATACTTTTTATGTTTTTACGAAAAATTGCAATTATATTATGTTACTGTTTGTATTTTAGGTAGGGTTTTTAGACAGTGTTTAAAAAAAAGTAAATATGTAAAAAATATATTTGTTGTTTATTTTAAGCCTCCCCCCCCCTTAAATTTTTAGACCGTAGCGGCATGTAGCGGATTTTGCGATACGTGTGACGGATATTTTAAACTTCGCTCTGGCAACACTGCCGGGTACCGGTGGGTACAAGTTCGTGCGATGGTGATGAAGGTGAAGGGCAGAGGAAAGGGGCAGTCTGGCCCGATCAATGATAGGGAGCGGACCGACGGTGGCGACAGACAGATGATATGTGTAGTGCAGGAGAGCCAAAAATATAGATATTCACGTGAAATAAGGATAAAGGTTACGCGGGACTATACCGTGTAGCGGACATCCACTGTGAAAAGTGAGAGAAGATATATATGGTGCCTGGCACATGACGCAACCACCGGGCTCATTGTCAGCGGGTGTTTTGGAGGTAACTACCTGCGTAGAATCTTTAGTTACGATGGATTAAGTTTACGACGATTGATTTTATAGACTTAAATCTGTTAATCAAGTGTCGGGACTGCTTCTTTGTACTATTAGAAAATAAATTGTTTTGTAGTAACTAATAGATTGTCATTCCACCCTGGTCCACTACAGTTAATAAGAATTCACTATTTCAACCCTGGGAGGGTTACAGGTAACAAAATCGGATTCCAAAATAGAACCAGCCTTCAGCATGTTAGTGGTTATTCTGGCAAGTTGATGTATACCAATTTGATAATGCTCTGTACTTTAATAAGTGCCATATGAATAATTATCCTTCAACATCACTACTCTACTTTTTTGTCTCTGAATTCCATTCTCTGATATTTGCGAAAACTGCAATTAAAAGAAAATAACAGCGGTGTGCCGATAACAATAATACCATTTGAAAGTTGATTCTCTCTCACTAAAGGGCTGTCAAAGCTCATATGTGAGAGCGGGTTTTCAGTATAATTTTTATGTAAGCTTTGCCTTCGTGATTGTTCAAATGTTAAGAAATAAAAACCTTACTTTGAAGATATTCCAATTACCAATATGTTGTTTCTAAAATTTTTATATTTTTTATAGTGTGCTAGAAAACATGAATTCAACATCGGCAAAATCAGAAACTGCTCCAGGGGTGTCGAAGGAAGCGAGCTTCTTGCACAAAATGGTGAAAAAACCTTGCAACTGGAACCAGTTCTATCATTCGTACCAACTATAATATACAACGACGTGTACAGCAATCAAGACCACATGCAGTCCTTAAAAGACTTTGCTGCCGTAGTATGTTCGAAAATAGAAGGAGATAAGCCAGAGATATGTGCCAATAAACGATTGCCTAGGACTAGTTGGGGATTCTTTGAAATATTTTGACTCAAATGAATATTTTATTTCATATATTGTAGAGTATAGTTTACAGAATAAAGGAACCTCTGGTTGCTTCTTTTTATGATACTTTGCTCACATTTCCTGAACATTCATCTCAAGTACCCATACCTTAGTCGAGTTAGAATATATAGTTTCCAAAAAGATCCGCTGCATATTTTTTGAACGAATCAAATTATTAAGATGAAATTCGATGGATGAACACTATATTTTGACGCTTTTGAAAATTTGATGGCACCAAGCCCCAATCTTGAAGGCTTTCTTATATGGTATGGGGGTCATGAGATATCTCTTTTTAAATCTCATGGATACCTCATTACCTCAGCATATACACCTATAAGCCAGTTAGATCACTCTCACATATCTTGGAACATAAAGCACCGATATAATCAGAGCTGTTGATGCCTTCCATTCAGCCAGACACAGCGGTACAGTGCTGTTAGCTGCGTTAACCTGTGCATTGTCCACCATTTGAGTCCTTGGGTATAGTTTGGATCAAACAGATTCTATTTGTGAATGAATTCTTCAAGTCAGAACAAGTATTTGCAGTAACTTCACCAAAAAAAACTCCAGAGTCTTCTATTCCTATAGAGATTATTACAGCTACTAATCTGCCAAAAAAGTAAAATTTGAGAACAAGGAGTATTAGCATATGTTTGGCTACAGCGCCATCTCTGTGAGACTAACCTTTTCAAGGTAGAAACTTGTACACTTCGTCGACTACTTCATATAACCTAGGCAGCTCAAATAACAATACATGTTAAGGATGTTTGGTACAGAAAGATATCTGCTAGGGACTGTAAAACAACGTAACGTTTTTACTTGGGTCTCGATACCCGATAACTCTAAATTGATTTAACAAGGGAAAATAGACTTGAGGTGTGGTCCTGGCAGAAAACAATATTTGTGGTTGAGGAATATGAGAAAATGGTGTGATACACCATTTTTCGACAAGCCGAAGAAGGTATCATCTGGTTTATTCTACAGCGATTGAAGAGAAATTGACGATCACAAAGTGCAGTATTGCACATGGCACCAGTAGAAGATAACATTAACGGTTTTAACGTCGAGGTTTTGATGTACATACATTAGGTCACTAAATAATTTTGTTGTTTCTAGGCTATCAGTATGCCAGAATACCATAGACTTCCACCCGTTTTACTGGCCTTAAATCAGTTCAACATCTGACTCGCGTTAACCTCAGCCATGGTACCGTGGTATCCATATGTTATTTTGCTTTCCTGGCTGCTTCAGTGCAATAATACAAGAACACAAATACAGTCTTATCCGTTTAATAAAATATATATAACGTCATACCTATAGTAACATTAAACCTTAAATAGCTGTAAGGCCAGCAATACAAAAATATTCGTCATAGAAGATCTAGTAATGCTCTGTCCACTCTTGCAGTTTTCCTTGATCAAAAAATCTACCACTGAGGAGAAGTTTTTGAGGGCCATATCTTGCATTGATTGGTTGTAGCTATCGTTGAAGATGACGGTAGGCACGAAGCGTATTGGTGGCTTGACAGAGGTGGTTCTGTAGCCGTTCGATGCAAGAAGTTCGTCGCCCTTTTCGGATTCTGAGCAATGTTGGATGTCGGAGAAGTTCACATGGTTCTCAGATGCACACTGAAAGAATGTCAAATTAAAACTATTTTGAATGCAATACAGAGTGATCAAGGTACAGAAATAGAAAAATGGTAACTCGAGCGACGTACGTCATCAGGTCCAAATGGATGCGAATCGAAATCACCTAAGTGAAGACATATACACAGCTCATCTGGATATGAGTGCAATCTGAAGAAAATAATGATGGAAAGGGAAATAAAACTAAAAGCCACCAACAAGAGCCAGCAGGCACATTTGTGTCTTCGGTCAGAGGACTTGTTTACGAGGCATCAACTAACATCGCCACGGAGCCCAGCTATATCTACTTACCGTGGTACTTCAGGCCCCTGATAAAATACAAAAAAGGCAGGTAGTTTTGCAGTAACGTAGCTAAAAAGCAAAATACAATCGTGACGTGTACGCATCCATGTATCCTCGAAACTACTTCTCTTTCTTTATGAGGAGTGATTGAAAATCAGGCGCAGAAAGTACGTCCAGACATAATGAGGACAGCTGCCAAAATACATTGTTACCAGGTATACCGACTTTAGTCCTATTTTACCGAACTACCGATTTTATTGCAAAACCTACCGAAAATTTTCTCAAATTACTAAATAGTATATATCTCACATAATCCAACTAAACACATGAATGGACTTTTACATTGAAAATGAGCTAATATAAGCTTTTGCACATTTGACTCTTTAATTTTTTCTGTTCCATAAATTTAATATTGTATTTGTGTATAATATAGAGAAAAATCCAGATGAGTAGAATACTTCTATGTATCTACAATTTATTGTAATGAAGAATTTGTTCTATTATTGCTGGGACTGCTCAATAAATATGTTTTTAATTATACATTTTTTTATTATCCTGAAATTCATTACTAGCCAAACTGAAAGAAATACTTCCTATATTGAGGATGTGTTATGCATCTATGATCATCGAACTGTCTCAATATCGGGAAGGTCATCAATCAGATTTCATAATGTAAACAAATGAAATCGCCAGCACATTCCTGATATGCCTTGTCGGCATACATTCAATATTTTTAGTTTCATCAGATTTGCAGCTAAGAAAGGTAGCGCTGCCGTCGTTATAGTCCAAGAAATATCTTCACATCTGCTCAGGAAAATATTCGGATTCGGACTTTTTGCATGTTATTCTAAAAAGCCTCCTAGTAACAAATCTACATGTTGTCAGGCTCCAAATGCGTCTCTAATTGTTGGTACAACTTTTTCAAATAAATTCCAAAAATTAATGTTTTCGCTTCATCAAAGGTAGTATTCGTTTTTTTCTTGATACTCCGAAACAAAACGATGTTTGACAATGTTTGTCAAAAGTTGATATTGTACGAGATGGGAAAGTACAAAAAATTGCTTTTGCGATGCCGAAAAACGATCTGAAAAAAATGTTAATGTCGCCATGCTTCATAAATAACCATTAACACAATTGCGATACCTTTTAGGAGATACTGTTATTATATAGACGGGTCCACACTATGTAACAAAATATGTTAATGACAAAGTTGTACAACAAATTTGCTGTACAACTTTGTTGTGTATCTTGTTATAATATAGCACAAGCATCCAGACTATATAACGAAATACAAAACAAAAAGTGCGCATAATTTTCGTTTTAGCTGACAGGTGGTAGTAGGTAAAATGACGTCAAACGTAGAGGATGCCATAATGGCAGCAGCAGCTTGCGTAATTTTGTGCAGGCGACACCGACGTGTAAAGCGAAGATTTTGGGTGCGGCCTTCATTAAAAGCTCGAGAAATATATAGTGGTACCGCTCTTTTAACTGATCTGAAAAGAGATGCCCTAGACCCATAGACAGGAGACATTAAATGTGATGGCAGTGGGGGAGTTACGGGTGTAGGTGTAGTGGACGGAATGGAGGATGCCTCAGGTATATTGTATGATTTAGTGCCTGTTTGATCTGATGTAGCTGGTGAAGCAGCGGGCGTCGGTGTAGCGAACGGAGTGGTGGATGTCCCAGGTTGTATGTCTGAACACTCTGCTCTATAGAGAATATTATTTATTTCAAATTTGGCGTAGATTTGCACCGATTTGCTCTTAAAGTTTCGCAAGGTGGTCGCTACATATTCACCATACACATCAAAGTCATCTCGCTTTTTCACGTTACTTGATAGTTCTTTCATTACCGCGTACGCTTCTTCAGATTTCGTGTTTTTTGCCATTCTCTTGTTGCCTTTAGTTATAGGTATACGTGCAATAGTTTCATTTACTGTTTTTTCTTGACGTTTTTTTGTATCATTTTGCACCTTTGCATGTGGCTGTGATCGCTCTTCTTCCTATAAAATCAGAAAAAACCGAAAGTAGTATTTTGATATATAACATGTATATAACGATTAAAGGCCTGTTTCAAGAAGACGCGTCACAAACCAGTCAGAGTCAAAGATTTAATCTAAAAATTGTCACATGTCAATTCTCTGACTGTTTCTGAGCTGTCCGATTGGTTCTGACTGGTTTGTGATTCTTCTAGAAACAGAACTTAAAACATGTATTGAAATGAATATAATAATATAGCATAATTCCTCTTTCTTCAGGTACCCAAATATCAAGAGGAATGGCAACAGATTGCAAATGATTTTGACCAGAAGTGGAATTACCCTCACTGTTGTGGCAGTATCGATGGAAAACACATATGCTTACAAGCTCAAATAAATACTGGAAGCGACTATTTCAATTACAAGGGATTTTTCAGCATAGTGCTTTTAGCTATAGTGGACGCTACTATTGCTTTACGTTTGTAAATATAGGTTGCCAAGGTCGTTTGTCTGATGGTGGAGTATTTGCTAATACAACATTTAAAAAGTTACTTGAAACCTCTTCCTTGAATCTCCCATCAATGAAAGTTTTACCGGGAAGAATATCATCAACTTCACCTTTTGTGTTTCTTGGTGATGAGGCATTTGCTTTACAGCCGCATATGATGACACCCTTCCCAGGCACTCAACAGAAAGGGTCACCGGCTCGGATTTACAATTACAGACACAGCAGAGCCAGACGTGTAGTCGAAAATACATTTGGAATTATGTCTGTTATATTCAGGGTGTTTAGAAAACCAATGCTTCTTGAGCCTCAAAACGCAGAAAGGGTAGTTTAAGCAAGTTGTTATCTCCATAATTTTCTTCGAAAAGGTCAAACAACTTCATCCTACTGTCCACCAGGAAGTTTTGATTCAGAGGACGCGCTGACGGGAGAATTAATACCTGGTACACGGAGAGTCGAAGGTCAGAAAAATGGTACTTTGCTAAAACTTAAAAAGATTCCCAGGAAACCTACCGTGCTAGGCAAAGAAATACGAGAGGAGTTTTCTTTGTACTTTACCAGTAAGGAGGGGAAAGTGCCGTGGCAGAATAATTTTTGATTTCAAATTGGTTATTAATTTAAAGTGTGCTTACCTCAACCGCAGTGATATTCCCAGTCTCCCGTGTCTCAGTATCTTGCTTGGGAGATAGACCACCTTTAGTAGAATGACGTGCCTCATTTTTGTCTTTTAAAAATAAAAGCATTTAAAAAAAAAAGCCATTTTGTTTTAAAAGGGGCATCAGCTCCATCGCTACTCTTTCCTTTTTTCAATTCTCGCTGAAATTGCCCAATCAGCATGCATTTTTTTTTTCAACTTCATTTGTATCTGTTTTCACTTCTGCGGCTATTTCAGTCCATGCGTCGTGTTTTTTATTTCTATTTTTAAAATCCATAAATGTAGGATCCCATAATACTCATTGCTCACGAAATAGTTCAATTAAATGAGTAGTCAATTCTTTCGACCATTCCATCGTGAACAGATCAAAGAAAAATGTAGCAAAACAAACAAGACGATGTGACACCGACGGTTCCCGTTCTTGTACTACTCCAAACACTATTCACAGTGCCAGGGAATGTTTCAATAACCTGTTTTTAAGTGTAGACCAGTCACACTGCGATTTTACAACAAAGTTTTATAACTTTCTTTGATCTTTACCGACAACTGATGGATAACATAAAACATGCTATATAACCTACAAAATGTTATACGACACTATAACTTTTTTATCTAAAATTCTGTAACAAGTTACAAAACTTTGCTTTTTAACATGTTTTGTTACATAGTGTGGACCCGTCTTAAATCTTTGTATTTAATTGATATGCAAGCGGACGCTCAAAGCATATTCAGTGTGCACGAGAGATATTTCATCTCTCTCTCGCGTTCACATAGACATAGACTATACATTGAGCGCGCATTCAATTCATAATTACTATGCAAATATTTACAAGGACTGTACTCTCTAAAATGCTCTGGGGGTTTTGTTATTGGTTGATTGAAGCATGTGTTACGTTAAGTCTTGCATAAACCCACCATTTTAATCTTATTTTTGTTTTCGAAGTCTATAACCTCAAAATTTTTGTTCATTTAAACATGTGATAGGCAGCTGCAGCGTAATGGCTTTTTACCGCATTACTTGAATAATTGATTTTAATATGTATGTAAACAGCGATATTTGTGATAATGTCTTAGAATCCTTATGGCGTCTTGGCTGTTTTGGACCAATGTGGCTATTAGTAATGTCAATGCAGTCTTAAAACTCCTTTGTAATATCTATGGTATATCTTCATATGCTAGATATAATTTTAGTAGCCCTGAAAGTCTTAAAGTTTAACCACATGGACTGTTCTTTTGGCGATCTGTCTTAATGTATCTTTCGGTTATTTATCAAAAAGCATAAGTAGCAACCTCAACAACTATTTGGAAGAAATTAATTTTGGTATCATTTTTGTTAGTTATTATGAAAAATCCTCGTAGCACTGGAGATAACTGAATTCTTTAGCTAAAATGTTGGAATAATGTAATAAATGCGTACATATTTCTACTCCCAGCTGCTATCTACATTGTTTTGATATTTAGTAGGCAAATTAACAGTTTCTATAAACAAATTCATATAGGTACTACAATAAAAAATATATGATAGCTTCTAAGTAGAATTAAAAAATAAAATAAATTGACAGTGCCAGTGGCGGCTCGTGCCAATTCAGTGAGGTAGTGCCAGAATGGAAGCCATAATTTTGAATCGATTCAAAATTGTAAAGAATAACTTATAACTTACCCCTGATAGTTAGTGGTCAAAGTTCTTGAGGTTCAATAAATCTATATGTCCAAAAAAAAATCAAAAATAAAACTATTTACACACGCGCACCAAATTATAAAACAAGTGTGGAGAAGTACCTATAACTTCAAAGTTTTCTATACATGAAGTCCATTCTTCTTTCTTTTTTGGTAGCAAAGTTTTCGATTACCTTATTATTAAAATTTTCAATGCCATTAACAAAATGTTTTTCTGCAGACAGCATTCCTAAAGCACTAAGCCTTTCTTCCTTCATTGTGTTTCTGAGGAAAGTTTTAATCCGTTTCAGCATTGAAAAAGAGCGTTCTGCTTCAGATGTTGACATCGGTATAGTGATTAAAATACTTAAGAGCTTAAGAGTTTCTTGAAACGTACAATTTAATCCTTCCTCGTTCAATAAAATGGATAGTGGAACAGCTCCAGAAGTAGTACTCAATTCTTCTCTCTGATATAATACTTGTAACTCAGTTTTAAGCCTGTTTTTATCTAAAAATGAAAATTGTGTGCATGTGTCATTTAAATGTGCTTCAGGAAACTGATGTTTATAAACAGAAAACTTTTCAGACACAAATAAATTAGAAGCAACTAAATGCCCAGAAAAGTTAAATCTTGTTCTTATTTGCGATAATACTGCATCGCATATTTCTAACGCTTCCCGTTTTTTGCTGCCTTCTTCAACTTGCCGGTTCATCAGTTTCTCTCTGCACTCGTTCAATCTCGTCAATAATGCTATCCATTTGTTCTCGTATAGTTTGAATTGCTGCTTCAAAATTCTCTAAATCATTTTTGACCTTAACAGAATCGGTGCATACTTTTTGTAATTGGTTAAAGACAATTTCAACATGTGGCATTATTTTATGGAATATACTTAGCCAAAATACAAAATTTGTATCTTGCAGCTTTAATTTGTACCCACTGGCTTGATTAATCGACGAAGAATCGCGTAGTATTTTCTATATTGTCCATAACTTCAATCAGGCCTTTCCTATTTTCATAAACTGTATGAACACCTCGTGACTGAAAATTCCAGCGTGTTTGGGAAGATCTTGGCAATCTGCGATTAACTATTTCATCCAAAATGTTTGTTCTTTGAGGAGACGTCGAAAAAAAGAGCACAATCCAGATAAATTATGGAAAAATATTCTAGCCTGCTTATTGACAGAGCATGCGCTTGTCATAATTAGATTTAACTGGTGTGCATAGCAATGAACATAATTTGCAAGTGGATAAGTTTCCTTAATAATTTTTTGAACGCCATTCAATTCACCACTCATAACAGACGCACCATCATAGCTTTGAGCTATTAATTTGTTTGGATTTTGATCTAGTAATGGATTTACAACATTTAAAACGCATGCAGCGATTGATTTGGCATCGTGTCCGTCGGGGACGTAAAATCTCCAAAATCTCTCAACTGGTTGTCCTTTACACAAATATCTGAAAATAATAACTAACTGAAATTCACAGGCTACGTCAGTCGTTTCATCGGCAATTACTGCAACAAAACATCTAGCATGCACTCAAGAAGCTCGTTTCGAGTTGTTTTTGAGGTACCCTTGAAAAGTTTGGCACTTTGAATATGGACTTTCAATTCGTTGTCTAATTCGGCGCTAAAATTCACCAGCTCCTTAAATATGCCTCTGTTTTCCGAATTTTCCTTTTCATCGTGACCCCTTAAGGCTAACTCAAATGCTCCACAAAACCTTATACAATTAATAATTTTATTCAATACATATCGATTCTTATCCACTTGATTATTATGTTTAATTAGATCATTGCGATAAGCCGAATTGAGTTGAGTCCTTATATTTAATTTACCAAGAATTGAAAAGCTAAAAACATTATTCATATGGACTTTAGATTTTTCGTGGGTCTTCATTTTATCCCATATATGTATAAGATCGTCTGTACCTTTTTTTGACTAAGTCTCGTCACCTCCAAATAGAACACATACAAAACAAAATAGTTTATTCGTTTCTTTACAACCACATATCCAGCTGTTTTTATCGTACACATTTTTATTAAATTTGCGACAGCGCGATTTTTGTCCGCTACCACTTTGTTTCTCAATTTTTAAATCGGGTATTGGCCGTCCTAATTCTTTAATTTGCAGTTTTTGATCCAGCGAAAAACCACTAAATGAGTTTTTTAATATCCCGATTTTATTCATTTTCACTAGTTTTAATAAAACAGTAAAAAATATGATCACAAAACAGAGCAGTTCATTAACACTAGACGTACTAAAACAAAAACGTTATTTCTAACTTTTCAGGTAAAAAAAGACCGAAATCAGCACTAGACGTAATCATAACGAAACGACCGACCGAACAAAAACACCGCCGATATCACTTGATAACGAATTACGACTGATGATGTGCCTGGCACAAATTATACTTGTCTTTCGCTATTCACCTCATATAAAAATGTGTAGCGTAGCGTTATCTCTGTCGCTCGTATGCGATGCTGGTAAAATTTCTCTCTTTTTATTTGGGCCGGCCCAAAATTGGCACAAGTTGATGACGTCAAGGTCAAGGCATGCTTTCCGTCTCGTCGCGTGGTTCGGGTGCTTGCGGTGTTGTCACGTTGTCAGTGTTGTCACTTCATATAATTTATACCAAAAAAATGAAAAAGCAGAAAATAAAGTAAAACATTGAAGATTGAAAAAAATATTCTTTTTGAAGAAGACAAGGTAGTGCCATGGCACCGTGGCACTACCTCACGAGCCGCCACTGGACAGTGCCCAGTGTGCTCATATACCATCGGTAGTTGCATCTCCACTTAGCAACGAACAAACAATGACAGTCTCCAAGGTCACCTAATTCTGTTTAGCATACTCGTATATTAATATGTCCATAGCAGGCACTAAAGTTACTTTATGGGCCTAGACACTCGTAGACTGCAAAGTGAGACGCTCGCAAAACCTATAAGTTTGCTTAGCAAATGTTCTGTGTTTATATTTAGCGGATAATTTTAACCAATACTTTGTTCCTCTAACACTTTGCTTGTTAATATGTGAGAAGCTAAGCGTATGGATGAATCATATACAAAAATATGCCATAACAAACAAAATAACAACTTGCTTTTGTGTATTCAATACAAGCAATCTGTGATTTTAAGCCAATAAACTTTGCGTATCTCAATACCTATTTAACAACAAACATGAAACCATCGATAAGCATTGATTTATTATTTACCAACCAAGAATGCATCGATTACCTTGTAAAGATTCTCGTCGGCTGCTGCATCACCGGATTGCATCGTGCACACGATGAACTCCGTACTTTTTCGCTGATCCAAAAGTGAGATCGCACAGGCATGCACTTTATTACCGTAACATTCACGCGGACCATGTTGACAAGTGAAGTTCCATTCGCCTGTGTCGTTATTTGCCTAAACATGAATAAACCATATAATTAGATATACTGTACAAGTAAATTACTATGTGAGGTTTATTTTGTAACAAAATTAATAATGGTATAGATGCATTAATTTATTTGTTGGTATATCACTACCGTGTATGCAACATATTTGAAAGTGATCAATTAAATTAGTAAAAAAATTATGCAAAGTTTAAACCAGTCCATAATATCTTTAAACCAACTGATAGTTTGAAATATCAGGTGCGACCCAACTTATGCGGTACACATTCTCAATAGATGGAAATTGTGTACGGTGACGAGTAAACAGAAAGCCGTTTCATGTATAATAATAATTTTGGAGCAATCTATAGACATATAACACTGTTCTAGTGCTCGAAGACCGAAAATGCATGTACATATAACCTAAGGCCATTCCTTGGTCTAAGGCAAATGTCTCACAATTAGAATTTACTGTGGTTCGTATCATCAGTATTTACCGATCATTCCGTCAGCGTCAGTCAATGTATTTCAAATATCTAGGGTTTTAAATATTATACAACTATTTATTCATAGCATCATATTTTATTATAAATAGAAACGCTATCAAAATAAAAAAAAATGTTTATAAATATGACACTCACCCGAAGACACTGGTAATAATATCCTACCTAAGTCAGAAAAGACTCGCAGATGGCATGTCAACTTGTGACAAACATGATTTTTGTTTGATTTCAAATTGTCGCGTCAACTCTGACGAAGTAAGTATGTGACAATATTACTGCAATATTATTGAGTTAAATCATGAGTTCAAGTTTGTGACAAAGTTGCAACAATATCGCAAGTAAAGCGAGGTAGTAACACTGCCAGACAGCATTGCCAATATGTAAGGAACTTCTTAAAGTGTAAGGAATTAATGATTGTTTTGTAGGTTTTGTTAGAGACCATACATGAAGGAAAAATTAAGGGTTTTCAAATGTATTGTTGTATCAGATAAAAACTAAAGAGTTTACATTCTCTTCATCGCTATGAACAGTAATTTTGATTTGTGGTTCTCTATTTCTGCATAAGAACTCGTCAACTTGCACATGCTGATATACCTCAGCTTTCGGCCGAGAAAGTCGCACGTAAATCTCGATAATATAACTATGAAAGAGGTTTTTAGCCGGTGTTGCCGCGTACCCTGCCAGCGACTGCAAATATTCTTTGCAATCGTAAAATGATCATATTTTGTTATGATCTGGTGTAGTCTGTGTGATTCAATAACAAAAAGGAGTAGGTTTGTCAAGAAAAGAGGCGACAAAGATTTGATGACTATTTATTTATGAAAAAGCTTCAAAATAAATTTGTAATGGTGGAAGAATTTACAATAAACGGAAATATATTTACCTTTGCAATTTATTCTTCGCTAATGCGATATTCTCAATCCATTGCGTTTTCAATGTAAACACTGTTAAAAATACTAGGCAAGCACAGGATTCACTGAATCATAAGAATTTCCGAGTATTCGTTGCGGAAAAGAACACCAACCAAGTAACAACCAAATCTGACACATTAAATAACTCCCCAGCTAGGATGGTTTTAAATACAGGGCTAGTTTTTAATGTGCAAGCGGAAGGTTGTTTCGATATCTTATACCTAAAAAAGTTAGTTATAAAAATTGCAGAGAACTTTAATACGCACATCTTACTTGGAAAAT